GGTTTCATCGAGGAAAAGAAAAATAGGTAACAACCAAACAGCCCATAAATGCAAATCTTGAGGAGTGAGCGCGCCCTTAAGAGGGCACCTACATGTGGAAGGCCAGCAAAGCAGCGGAGTGCTAACTGCGGGATAGGAAGTGTATGGAATTTGGGAGCAAAAGTCACACGGAATGTACACGTACACACATCCACCCACAGATGGAGAGAAAGAAGGGAAGGGGAGGAGAAGAGAAGGGAAGGAGGATGCCTCAAATGGAACGCGGTGTTGGTGGTGATGCCGGCAGTGGTGCTGGTAGCGGCGGTGATAAAACCTCTCTGTTACCGATTCCCGACTCGTCTGCAAATGTGACCTTCAAATTGTAGGGACTTTTAGGTCTGCTGTTTCGCAAGGCACCACACGGCTGTAAGTCAGAAACATGCATCCAAAATTCCTCCTCAACAAGGCGCACTTTTACAGACTCAGCTCTGGAACACAGAGGAAAACTGGAAAGGTCTTTTAAGGCCCATGTGATACCTTCACAGCGTTTGGGAATGACAAAATTATGCAGTTGTTCTTTTAGGGGTGAAAGAGAGAAAACAATTTCTCATCATAAGTCAGTCAGTCGACAATCCACAAGTCACGCCGTACTTCGGCAACGCACCCAAAGGAAGCGTCTTTGGAGTCTATTGTCATCTGTTAGTGCATGAGGCACCGATTTAACTTTAAAATTAATGTAAGTGTAAGCGACTTTGTCACCACAACTCACGTCTAACACTACAAAAGCCCGTAAGGCATTCATCTCGAAGAATGCTAACGTGGCACGCAATTCTTTGTATCCACAATAGAGGCTACTCCTCTCACAATAGGAAGTAAGGGACAACATTGTAACGGAATGGATGCTTTACCCTAGAATTGAAAGATAACGTGCGCTGCCGTGAGGACGACCCGCAACTGTTGCAGCTAGCACAATTGAGACGCAGGAAGCCACGTGACGGAAGCGGCAGTGCTGTCCTTTTGTGCTGCGGCGAGAAGCTCTTTGAACGCGGCTGGAGCTTACGTGGAGGGCTCTCCTCTTCGTTCTGGTAGGACGGTGTCGATCGTAATGGTGAAGGAGGTGGAGCGGAAGCAGTGAGGACATTGTTACCAACACTACTAACGCGTTCGTCGTTCACCATTAGCGGGATGTCCTCCTCCGGTCTAACAGCCTGGAATGAAGCGTTGGTGATGGCCATTGGTACCTTGGATTGCCGAGATGTCTCAATCACTGTAACCGGGGATGCTGGTCTACGCTCCTCCTCCAGCGTAGATGATGCGCCGGATCCAGCGATGGAGGAGGCGCGTGAGCCACCAGGTGAGACGCCCCGTAGGGTTCTCGAGCCGTTGGATTGGTTGCTCTGCCTCGCCGACAATGCTATGCAGTTTTGATCAAGTGAAGCAGTGGCGGCGTGGACGTACACTTTACTGTTACGGATACTGTTGGTGTAGAGGAGGACCTAAAACGACAACAAATAAATGCATATTGAGACAAGATTGTAATAGATCCAAGCAGCTCTTGAGAATGAGGAGGATACAGAGGCGACATTGCCACATACATTGGACCAGAGTTCCAAATTGGCGCGCTGAGCGAGAGCATCGACGGCGGTGGCAGCGAGATGCGATTGTGTGGTGGTGAGAGCAAAATGCAGACCCGGCAGGAGGTCGAGAACAAATTGCGCCGGGAGTCGAGGAATTCGCACCGAGGCCACCAACATCCCTACCATCTCCGTCTTTGTGTGTCCCCCACTTCCAACACCACTGCCGCGTGGTAGGCCGTGGAATTGGTGACGCTTCGATTTCTTTTTCTCGTCAAAATCGCTTATCCGTGCCACAGGTGCAGTAGGTGTGTGCGACTCTTGTTGTTGTGGTAACTGTTGCTGACACAGCTGCTCTTGTTGTTGATGTTGCTGTTGATGAAGAGGGTCTAGAATGCAGGAGGAGTGGCTATTTGCAGTGACAATATCATCCTCATCAACATCATTGTCATCAATGGGTTCGCAGTCTTCCAGAGTACTTTGTGCATTGGTGAAAGTCTCGTCTTTTTCCCCTTTTGAAGGCTAAAGAAATTAAAGGGTCCGGATTAGAACTTTCATTTCGTTAGTAGATTCAGACAACATCCAAATGCCCCACTATACGAAGCGTAACCTTATGCTGGGTACAGCAGGTGAGCAGAGAGCACAATGGATTACTGTACCCATAGACTGACGCATACCTTACGGGTCTCTTAAAGCGAAAAAAGTCGCTGCGGTGAGCTCTGTCGAAGTCCGGACGAACTTCTCAATGGAAGTTGAAAGAAATGCAAACGTTTTTTACTGGCAAATTGTCACAGGTACATCAATTTCCTTTGGTCTCCTTTCAATCAAGGAATAGCAGTCGGTGCCTCAGGGCACTAGAATGTTATGCAGTGATTCTCTCCAAACAGAGGAGGGCATAAGCCCTCATTAAGCCTGCAGCCTGAGCGCAAAAAGTACACACGTTTACTAAACAAAAAGGGCAGATGCGAATGTTTGGCAAAAAGTGGCTGCAAAAGTGCGGATGTAGTGACCCCACTTTCAAAATTGACGAGGGAAGATCTGGGAAAGAAATTTCAAAATGCGGTGCACAAAGAGAGCGCTCTTCCCTTCGTAGCCATCTCCACGTCGAGGTGGCAACTCACATTGAGCCATAAGAGCGGTCGTCCAGGAGGCTGACATAGTGCACTCAGGAAAGGCCTTCATCATTCTTCCGAAACGAGACAACCTTCCATGCTCCGCTGCCATACCATAGTGAGAGGTCGAAATAACTTTACACTTAGAGGAACAGTGAAGACCACAAGCACATTTGGCCTCCAACCAAACTGCCGCAGTAGGCACAATTTGAGAAATTTAGGTAGACCTAGCTCTCATATTTCTTTTCCTCGGCAGTAGAAAAATCGCCATCCACTTTCTAAGCGACAAAAGGTAGAGGCAGATTAAAAACGCACCTATGAATGGAATTTAATGCGGAAACAAAAGAGCACCCTCGCCTTCCATCTAATAGACAACGCAAATATCAAATAATGCACGTTGACAGGAAGCAATGGAGTGCCATTCCAGCATGTAGTGCAGCGTATTAAACAGTGAGGCCGATTGCAACGTCGAAGCAAGACGATGAAGGTAGGAGGAAAATAGTTAGACAAGATACAAGCACATGTAGTGAGACTGAGACCTCGAGAAGTAACCTACAGCATGATCTCATATCACGTAGTTAAAGCTCAAGATCCTCAAATTTCTCAACAGAGCAAAAAAAGGCTTCAAGAGTCACCTTAGCTGATATGATCACGAGTGCATTCTTTATTCCTTTTCCTGAGATGACCTTGTTTTAGAGAGCAACAAAACTGAGCCTAGCTTCATCCGTTTCTGTCGCACTTCTTCATCTCCATTGTCTACTCCGTTCGCATGTCATCACGCGATTGGCTGATGCTAACAAGCGGTGGTAATCACGTGGAGGAATGCCAAGGAAGTGCAGAACGTATCCGATGGGAGGTCCTGTGACATCTTGCAAGAACAAGAGTAGGACCGCCTTCTATCAAGTAACTCACTAATCTTGCCTGTTTCCTTGGTGAATTTTGTTTGCAAACATTCAAGGCGTACCTATTTGTCGAGTGGATGGATCTTAGCCGTCATCATAGTTCAGCCTCCAGCCAGGAAGCGATTTCCCACGGCCGATTCCTTCTGTAGTTCACTACATTCTAGGATGTGACGTAGGGCACACAAATGTGGGGTAGAGAACAAATTGTTAGGATGTTACCAAAGACTTCGTATCACAAGTCCTTCAACAGATGCTTCCATACAAAGTACTTGAAGGAGATAAAGAACGGGTAGATTTTTGCCATCTATGAAAGCATGCAACGTCAATTTGACATTCAAACTATGCAGATGTGAAGGACTCATGTCATCGCTCACGTTAAACAGGACTGGAAGTCGACCTTGACACCAACCACGAATTGTTTCGACGTCTCTATGATGACGCGTAATTCTTCACTGCTATCAAACAAGGAGTGTCTACCTAAACCCAAGGAATCGCCAAGTAATGGACGAGCAAATCGCATTCCTAGGCTCCAACAAGTTACAATAAATCATTACAGCAAGCTGCACCAAAGGCCGTAGGAGATATTCGGAATCCCCACATTTACACAAGCGGTGTGCTCCAGCCTTTCCGAGGGAAAATCTGTTTTTTTGGAGCAAGAAAATGGACTCATCCCAATCACTCAATCTATCTGGGCACAATTGTGACACATTGTTCTGGCCTTTTGACATCGTGTCTACTTACATGTGCTACCAGTGATTCGCCGATTGAACTGGCAATAAGAAACTCGCACAAGAGCTTCGCAAGTAGTAGTCCAGTCACCGAATCGTTCGATGCAACAGGGATTTACGCAATGGACTATCAAAGTGTCAAATCACGTGGGGACAATAAACTGGTTGTACAAATGTCTTGACCTCTGCAAGGGCTGCCTCAAACGAAAAGTGAGTGCCAAGACTCGTCTTTGTGTTACCCACTCATCAGATTATTTCAAGACAAATTGTTTGCTTTTCACCCCATTTCAATTGCTTAAAAGGATACTTTACTAAACTCGTTTGCCGAGCGACGCCTAGCAGGACACAGATCGGTCCACCTACATCCATGCCAGTTGCGTGGGTAAGTTGAGAGGTGAATGCATTCCAAGGTCGAAAAAGGTCAGCCTTCTTTTAGATTCATGTGATTGTGACAGTGGCAATGTTGCATAAGCTGCCAACACGGCATGATGTAACGGCATTTTAGGTTGCCAACATTGTTTTTCAAGTGACCTGCTATCCAGTGAGTCACGTGGCTTCACAAATCACCGCCGCTTAGTAAAAAGGAATAATTATTAACAAAAAGCTATTCAGCCTTGTGAAGGTAGCAGTCTGTAGGAGTTTTGAATAAACAATTATAAGCAGGAATGCCTACAAAATAAAAACAATTATACCCTTGTTTTATTTTCCCCAAACCAATTCTACTTCCCCTTTCCACGGGCGCTCAACGTAAGAAGGAGAAACAATGCTTAGCGTTGCCTTTTCACAGTCACATCTGGCAAGCCAAGTCGTATGAC